ATGATTGTGACTTCATTTTCTTACAAGTTCAAACACAGAACCGTCGCGTACACAGACAAAAACTATAAACCACAAAATGCTGTCGCCTTGGTTAGGGAAGTCGAGAAGGAAAATCGCGCCATCAGAAAGGCGACACTCCAATTGTGATACTTCGCGGCGGTCACCTGGCCCGCACGGCACCACCATTTGCAAGCTGCTGCAGCGATATCCTTGTCAAGGCCTCATCCCGTTTGCAGGTCGATGAAGTTGTAAATGCTCGGGTGAGCCCTCCCTGACACAGCGTTTATCTTGCGGTGCCATGTCTCCGAGGTTGTTTCGGGAGAGGGAGAGGTGATGTGAGCAAGGAGAACAGACACTGGACACTTGAATCTAATCAACTGTTAACGAACAATACAAACCAACCGAAGGATGGCCGAAGCGGGAAAGTTGTTTCGGGAAAGGGCGAAACGGGAAAGGATGAAACGGGAAGGTCGTTTTGAGACGGGTCGAAACTGGAAGGTACGAACGGGAAGGTTGTTTTGGGAATGGGTCGAAACGGGAACCACCCCCTTCGAAAGGTAACCCACCCCTATTTTTGACTTGATTTGCTATATTCTTTTAAACACCAAAATATAGCCCAGTCCTAGTAATCACAGTGTTCGGATCAGTGATGACCTTGGTGAATTGCATCTAGTTGTTTTTTTTTTACTTTTTTTGACTGCACACTGAAAGTTGGCCGTTTCTATATTTACACCCAGTTTTCTTTCGATTTAAGGTGGGCTACCTCTCCGGATCTTACAATATTCACTTTGAATTTGCTTCGAACCCCAAATCGATTATTTTAACATGCCTAATGAAGAGTTGTCGGTTTTTGTGCAAACGGTGCTCACATCGATCACATAACTACCGTAAAATCCTGAAATAGCGCCCACACTCGATAGATCGCCCACTCCGCTTTTATGTTCGAACACGAGTTTCCCTCGAATACTGATAGGTCGCCCACCTTCCAAAAATAGCGATGCCCGAAGGTTGAGAAAGGTGCCGGAGGGTAGGGAAGAAGGTTTGGAAAGCCTAGGATTCCCTTCACAAAAAGAAGAGGCCACACACAATAAGGGAGATAAGATAACGGAAGGAACCCGGAAAGCGGTCAAGGTCACTTATTGAATGACATCAGGAAAGCGTTGAAGGTCACTTAGTGGTTGTCGTCAGATCGCCCGAGAACCCCAGAAAATCTTTCGACCAGCAAACTGTGAAGACGTTTCTTGTGTATACTCGGGATGAGGTCCAGCTATACCATCCAGAAGAAAGTGGAAGTCGTGGAATGGCACCGCAAGAACGGAGCTAACGTGAGCAAGACTGCGCGCCATTTCGAAGTTGACCGGAAGCGTGTACGGGAATGGAATACTTGCTACCAAGTACTTCTACAACAATGCCATAGAACAAACAAGTTGAAGAGAGCAATAGGTAGGGGACGAACCGTTTTTAGTGAAGAAATCGACGACGCACTGATGGACTTCCTGGAGACAGAGATCCGCCGGTCGAGCAGTCAGCAATCGCCTGCTTCAAGAGCATGCGCGGAAACTGGCAGAACAGATGGGCCTAGGAAACTTCCAAGCGTCATGCCAGTACATAGCTAACTGGAAGAAGCGATTTAATGTGTCTATGCGGGTGGGGACCAACGAAAGTCACAAGCTGCCTGCCGACTACGTTGAAGCAATTACGGTGTTCCGAAAGGCTGTGTCAACTCTGCACCTGGAGCACAACTGCTCAGACTACAACATAGCCAACATGGATCAGACTATGGTCCGGATGGATTGCCCTGCTGCGAGAACCAACAATGCTGTCGGCGAGTCGAGTATTCGCATCGCCAACACCGGCTGTGCTCGGCGAGGGATGACGGTGGCCTTGTGCGCGACGGCAGCGGGCATCAAGCTACCTGCTTTGATCGTACTGAACGAGCCAACCGGCCGGATTCCCCCCAGAGTACTCTTTTTTCTAAGGATCCCAGGTATCTTGTAATTAATCACCATTCAGGGTATAAATGTCGTAACAAAGCCTTAGAAATACGTAAAAATAAGGCTGACAGCATTTTTTTTTTTTTTTAAATAGAGCGACTGTTGCATTATCCATTGACAAAACGCCACAGCCCGTTTTGTTTTGTATCGCCCCATTTCCAAAAGATGGCGTAGCCGTTCTGGCCGGCGCCATCTTGAGCGCACGAGCAGTTGGCGCGTGACTTGCTGGCTTTCCGAAGCTTACTCACTTGCGCGTGCTTCGGCGCTCGGCCATAAAATCGGGCAGTTCGCATATCTTCACTCATCGGCGTAGCATGTGTAATGTGCGTTTGGGGCCCGAACTGTTATTTCATGTTATACTTGTACTTGCAGCAAATGTCCGAGTTACTTCTTCCAAGAATGGTTGGATGACCTCTCCCGTCCTACTGGAGTGGACTAGGAGAGTTTGGGGCCCGAACGCCGACGACGTGAGGAGACTGCTCATACTGGACCAAGCACCCATACACAAGACAGAGGCGGCCCGAGAAGCGCTCGACGCAAAAGACACCGACGTCGTCTTGATACCGGGCGGTTGCACGTCCATTTTGCAACCCGCGGACGTCTCATGGATGAAGCCCTTCAAGGACGCGTGGAATTTGGGCATCGTTCTTCCGGAAAGGTTCGGTGACTCCAAAGGGCAACCTTCGCAAGCCGTCGCGTCAAGAGGTTGTGGACTTGGTGGCTCAGGCGTGGGCCTCCGTCTCCGAGGATACCGTGCGGAGTTCGTTCAAACGGAATATCCACAAGGCTCGATGGTTGCGGGACGGCGAGCTCAACGACCGTTTGGCTTCGGTAACCAATGGACCCGAGGATCCTGAGAGCCTCATTGACGAGGCGTTAGATTTAATCTTCGATAGCGAAAGCGATGTGTCGTTTGACGGTTTCAGCGATGAGAGCTAGAGAAATAAAAACCCACGCTGCTTTGGCGCACGCGTTACTCGATTTTTGTTTGTAATTTTGGTTATTAAATACTGAAAGATCGCCCACCTCACTTTTTTTGCCAATTATCTACGGCGAAAAGGGGGGCGTTAATTCAGGATTTTACGGTAGGTAGCGCTACTTGTTGTGATCAGTTAGAGTAGCCATGTGCTCCACTTGGGTGCTGTAAGAACAGTAGCCAAAAATATCTTACGTCGAACACAAACCAAAAACTCCATTGATACACCTAATTGGTTCATTGAGACATCTGAGAAATTACCAGCGTATGATCGTTCAATAAATAAATAAATATCTGTTGTGGAAAAGTCCCCTGTAGGTATACCTTGTATAGTCTCTCAACACTCCAACAACTGAAGTTTTTTCCACAGACTAACTTTAAAGAGATTGTATAAAAACTTTACATGTAAGCTCAAAATCGTCTGCTCCAAAAATGGAAAACTGCTCCAAAACCTGTTTTTCCCAGGTACTAGAGCTGCTCCAAGTCACCATTTGTCAGTTTCACCACTGCTTTGTGTTCGAAAACCTACCCGCATTCAGCGTCGCTCTGTGTTATCACGTGACGCGACCCTCCGGAGTAGCTCAAATCTATTTGGGGAAGATTTCAAACACAGCCCTTCTCTTTCCCATTTTTGGGTCCTGGAGAGCAGCGGAAGCCTTGAGCAATTGACCGACAGCCAACAGGGCTTGTGAGTGACTGTCTGTACCCACGGGTGAAATTTAACAAAAAAAGAACTTTCCCCCGGCAAAAAATAAGAAAGTGGATTGTTGTACGACTTGTGTCGGAGTTGTTTCACCTCGCGATCCCTGTTTGGACAGGCCTTAATGTGAGCTTTCGGTTGCACGACAAAAGATCCCAAGGTGGTCTAAAGAATCCCCAGCCCCTCATCATGTTTAGCATGCAAACCTCAACATTTTTGTTTCAAAAATTTTACTTTTTGAGGCTGAATGAAAATTACAAACACCCTTGTACTCAGTGTTTGCAAGTACTTAAAGTACTATTTGGAGTAAGCCTTGATTACTTGTACTTCGCCTGAAGTATTTGTTTTAGTAGTTTGCAAGGAAACTACAACCCCCTACCCAAAGTATGTCCCCAAACTTGCTCTTACTAAATTTGCATCACAAAACAGTGCTAGGTCAACTGGGGAGAAATGCTGTGAGGAATATTCTATTCTAGCCAGTTGGCGTTCTCAGGAGACAACAGAGTTTCAGAGAACCATTTTTCAACTCGGATTTCAATACGATTGGCCCAGCTGGTATGAACTATGCATGTAAAGTGTGCATGTGCATGTCATATCGTTATTGGAGTTGAAAAATGGTTCCTTTGAACTCTCTTAAACATACTCTGTTTCAGATGTTTTTACAGCTCTGGGAAACATGCAGGGAAAAATAAATTTATCTGAGCACTGACTTGTTTGGCTCAGGAAAATTTGGGCTCTTCTAAAAACCATGTGCCGATGTCCTTGTCTTTCCGAATAGTACCTACAAATTCTGAGGTATAGTATAAGTTTCCACCAATCTTTAATATCAAAATGGTAGGCTGTTATCGCACAGAAGTGTTGATTTCTTTCTAAACCTCTTCTGGCCAGTCCTCTAAAAGGAATGACAATTGTAAGGTTGATACAAATAAGTGGCTTATAACTTTATGTTGATTAATACGTGCTTTGCATGTGACGTCATTCCTACTTGCCGAGAACAACAAGTTCGATGTGTGAAATTTATGCTGCAAAAAAAGGTACAGACGCAAGAGCATGATACAAAGTAATGGCAGTTGATGTGACGAAAATGAAAACCATGCATAGCTCATCGGAGAGAGAAAAAAAGTATTGAATAGCCTCTTGGCCATGTCCGGTACTTGCCGCCATTATTGGCAATAATTCCTTTATTACACTCTCGAGTACCCCCCAAACTATGCGTACCATGATTTGAAAGGCACTGAAAGTTGGAATGAAAAGGACCATCAATGATTTGCTTTATTTAAAAAAAAAGATTGCTTTTAATATATTTTACTTTAACTGCATCGTGCCCTGTATGTATACTTGCGACTCAACTTGAAGTACATAAACTCTCGGCTACTTGAACTTTACTTCAAGTACTTTTTAGATATGCTTTACTTTATGAAACACTGCTTGAAACTTTGAACGGACACTAACTCAGACAACCAAGTTAGGCTGACAGTCAGGTTTGGTGCTCTTGTGTAGAGGCTAATACTTGGGCAATTTCAACCTTCTGAGCAGGTTCTTGCCAAGTTCATGGACCAACAGGCGCAGAACATCGTGCAGAAGATGGCCAGGGCAAGGATCCAGCAGGAGTACAAGAAGACGACATTGAGGGCCTCCTCGAGCTCTGGCTGGACCTTCCTCCACCATGTATGCTATGTGAGGTTGAGGTCCCTCTGCTTTGCTCTCCTGCTGCTTCTGCACCATGTCCTCCGCTTGCTTCTGCTGCTTCTGTACCATCTCCTCCGCTTGCTTCTGCTGCCTCTGCACCTTCTCCTCCGCTTGCTTCTGCACCATCTCCTCCGCTTGCTTCTGCTGCTTCCACACCATCTCCTCTGCTTGCTTCTGCTGCTTTCGCATCATCTCCTCCGCTTGCTTCTGCTGCTTCCGCACCTCCTCCTCTGCTTGCTTCCGCACCATCTCCTCCACTTGCTTCTGCTGCTTCCGCACCTTCTCCTTCACTTGCTTCTGCACCTTCTCCGCTTGCATCCGCACCATCCCCTCCGCTTGCTTCTGCTGCTTCCGCACCATCTCCTCCGCTTGCTTCTGCTGCTTCCACACCTTCTTCTCCGCTTGCTTCCGCAGGTGGGAGAGGCTGCTGACTCCCCTGTTGCATGCTTTCCGGATGCGATTCCAGAGGGGCATTTCTGCGGATATGCGGAATCATGGTAGTGATGTTAATTAAGGAGCAGCATACTCTTCATTCTAAAGCATGTTCTTTGCTCAGAGGTGGTAGTGCCATTTTCCTGAAGGCCAAGTTTAGTGACTATCTTACCTTTCTAGAAGCCTTTGAAAACTGGTCCAGCGAAGGGTTGCATGTATATTAAAAAAAAAGGTCAAAGACGTGTACACTAGCTTAATCTGATGAATTTAAGTACTCCAAAATCGAGTTCATCTACATTCATGGACGTCCTCCCTCGCTCATGGGTGATGGAAAGCGCCCTGATCAGACCTATTTTACGGGCTGCCATGCACGTCTTTTGTTATTTTTGAAGGCAAAAGCAACCATGTCATATGTAATCACAAAGCTTGTTGTTGAACATAACCATATTATAGGATGTTACACTTCATACCCCAAAAACAGACTTCTGACTGAATTTGAGAAAGAAAAATTTGCCGAGCTAGTGAAGTGCAATGTAAAGCCTAAGGATTTTAAAAGTTATGTCTATGAAAAAACTGGCAAGACTCTAACTATGAAAGACATAAACAACTACAAAAGCCGCAATGCTACTACAATCAAAACTAGTGGTGCTCATGGGGCCCTGTTGCTCCCACGATTGCAAAGTTTTGCTTCTCAAAACCCTAATTGGATTATACATTAACAAAAAGATCAAAACAATGAACTATTATTGGTCTTATTTTGTTGGGACGCAGCCTGGGACAAGTGATACCATAGGCGTCCCAAACTCAACTGATCTTTTTATTTCTAAATGCCTGTTCCCAGGCAGGTCTTCCTCTTCGCCCTCACCTCCTTTCCCCGTCTTCTCCCCCGCACCCCACATTCCTCAGCCACTGCGGTCCGCGGGCGAGGGGAATTCTCCCGCGCGGGAAAAGGAGAGACATATCCGGTTGGCAGGCTAGGCCAGGTTCGTCGGGCAGCCACGCCTGCGCGCGGCGTGATATGATCACCACAATACTCCCTCCTTAGTGAGTGAGCGAGCGGAAGAAGGAATCACAGGTCGAGCCACACAGGGGCCCTGATACGCCAGCTGCTGCGCGTGGTTCTCGTGCTAGCTGGCGGAGGTGGCACCGAAGGCAGCCTCGCGGGAAATAGGGCCGCGAAGGGGGTGGACGTTGTGGTAGCCGAGCGTTCCATTTGGGCCGGTTTCACGCGGTCGATTGACACGACATCTCGTCGGCCACGCCTGTCGATGGTCATCATCTTGTTGTTGCGGCGCAGCACCATAAATGCCCCATCGTACGGGGGCTGAAGAGGGCACCGCACAGCGTCGTGTTGCACGAATACGTGCATGCACGATGTGAGGTCGGCGCTCACGTGCGCCGCTCGTGCTGTCGGCTCACGGGGAGGGGTCGCTCTGGGTTTTACCATGAGGTCCCTTAGGTGAGACGCGTAGTCTCCGGTGGTGACGCGGGCTTCTGGTTGACTAGGGCCGAAGTACTCGCCGGGAAGGCGGAGTGTTGTCCCGTAAGTTGCAATTGTCGTACTGTTGACAACTTGTAGGGGGAATCCGCTCGGGTGCTTCCGATCGGCAGCCGACGCCGGGACCACGCTCACCTCTGCGCCTGTGTCGACGAGGAAACGAACGCCCTTGGCGCGGTCGGTCAGAAAGAAAATTGAGGGGCGACTTTCCGGCAAGGTGGAGGCACTGGTCGCCCTCATTGCTGGCCCCGACCGTTTCCTAAATGTTCGCAGGGAGGCACGCAGTTCCGTGCGGCGTTGCCGTACCTCCGGTGATACCAGCATACCTTCTGGCTCTGCTGTGGTTCCGGCTTTGCACTCCGGTTCGGGGGGTGCGCGCCAGATGCTCGTAGGGCCGCCACTGTGCTGGCGAGGCGCGAGATCTCCGCTCGGAGCTCGTGAAGTTGGTCCGGCTGCGCTGGTTCCGCTTGCACGGTCGCAACAGAGAGTGTTGCGACTGCCATAAGTGCGTCTGCCTGCTCGGCCAGCTTGGATAGGTCCTTCTCTCCGGTGGAGATGAGCACCATGCGGACATTTGATGGAAGCCATTGAAGGAAAATCTCCCGAAGCAGGAGACTGTTGAGACCGGCCGCCGTGCTGCCGAGCAGTTGTTGCACGTGGCGTAGCAGTTGACTGGGCGTTCGGCCCCCGAGATCAGCTTCGCGAAGAAGATGCTGCAACCGCTGCGGTTCCGAGGGCGATACTTGGCGAATGAGCGTCCGCTTCAGCGTACTGTACGCATCCTCCGCGGGTGGGGAGAACAGCAGGTCGCGAATCTCGCTTGCCGTTGCGGGCGGCAGGCTGCTCACCACGTGGTGGTACTTTGTGAGGTCCGCGGTGATGCGCCTTGCGGCGAACTGTGACTCCACCTGGAGGAACCACAGCTCGGGGTCCGCGGTCCAAAATGCGGGCAACTTGACGTCGACAATCATCGGGACGTCGGAGCTGAGTTGATCATTCATTGTGCGATTGAGCGTCGCGGGTCACCAATGTTGGGACGCAGCCTGGGAGAAGTGATGCCATAGGCGTCCCAAACTCAACTGATCTTTTAACTGATCTTTTTATTTCCAAGTGCCCGTTCCCGGGCAGGTCTTCCTCCTCAGCCTCACCTCCTTTCCCTGTCTTCTCCCCCGCTCCCCACATTCCTCAGTCACCGCGGTCCGTGGGCGAGGGGAATTCTCCTGCGCGGGAAAAGGGGGGACATATCCGGTTGGCAGGCTAGGCCAGGTTCGTCGGGCAGCCACGCCCGCACGTGGCGTGATATGATCACCACAATTTCAGACATCTGTCATGCGAGAAACATTGGAAAAATATCCCGAAATTCTCTTCTTCGACGGTACATACAGATTAACGTAGAGGGTTACATTCTCTATTTAATTTTTTGTGAGGATGGTCGTGTGGTAAGGGTCGAGGCATTTGTTATGCATTCCTGCAAAGAGGAACCTCTATTATTGTTTGCTCTGTTTTTAGAAGTTTATAGATTGCAACCCATTTGTACTGTCAGCTTGTAACATTGTTATGATAAACAGCTAGAGACTTGAACGAACTAAGAATTTTGAAATAGCTAATGCCAAAAAGCACTATTCTTCTATGTACATGGCACGTCCTGAACTCCTTGTCTTTCCAAATAAAGAAACTTGCTTCTCAACAAAAGGAACTATTGTGGCCACTAAATTAAAAAAAAATTTTATGCCCAGAACCCATCCGCTTATGATACAAAGGCTGTGCACCTCGAAAAGCTTTCTCCTAATTTTTTTTTTAATATTTCATGCTCAACTGTGATTTGTGCGAAGATATGTGGGTGCACGCCTATCGCCGTCCTTTACTTACACTAGGAAAAAATACCAACAACCGAGTAGAGAGCCATAATCAAAAGCTAAAAACCTTGCATTCAGGAATGCACCTGACCACAGCAGTGAGCGCTTTGCTAGAGTATGTAGATCATGATCTTATATCACAAGGGTTTGCAAAGCTGAGAGGTTAGGCTTAACCTGAATTCAACTACCTTTGACACATTTCAGCTGTGTTTAGCTCAAACCTGCACTCTGGAAGGTAGGAAAAGTTTTAGAGCAGTATGAGTAGTTTAAAAGTCAGCACTACACTGTTAGTCTTCATAATGGCACATATACAGTCAAGTCAGACCAAACAGAGTACATTATACCAAATAGCCTCGACAGCTGCACATGCCTATGTTACTCTCAACATCGACTTCCATGCGTCCACATGTTTACAGCACGATCTTTTGCAGAAGTCGAGCTATTTGACAAGTCTGCTATTCCGCACCGATGGCGTAAGAACCACTTTCTGAAATCTGAAACTAATGACTGTCCAATCACAGCTGGCTCTAACCCACTAAGCACAACCAATCCTAACCCGCCCAAGCCGAACCCACTTGCCTGAACCTGCCTAGCCCGAATTTGCCCGAACTTGAACCCACCTAGCTCGAACCCGCCTAGCTCGAACCCGCCCAGCCGAAACCCGCCTAGCCAGAACCCCTCTAGCCTGAACCCGCCTAGCCCGAATTCGCCTAACTTGAACTCACATAGCTCGAACCCACCTAGCTTGAAGCTGCCTAGCTCGAACCCGCCTAGCTCGAACCCGCCTAGCTCGAACCCGCCTAGCCGGAATGCACCAAGCAAGAAATCGCCGACCCAAACCGTGTTTATATCGGCCATACGAAAAACCTTGCTTGTGAAACGATACCATTCAGGCAAGATATAATCATGCATGCAAATTTTCGAGTGATCCAGTCAAACCAACAGCTTGCCCAATGTGGTGAACGAGAGCTTAATGAAAAATTGGTAAATATTCAGGCACTCTTTAGCAATCTTATAACCTTCCCTAGCAACCAGGTGCAGCTCTTGCCACAGTCTGTTGCACCCTGTGCAGCTCGAGAGGATGTATCTCGGCAACAGCTAATGGACACAACAATCAAGAAGGAAACTTCTTCCGAAAAACTGTGCATTAGTTTGAATAAACGCAGGAGAGGCAGACCACGAAATGTAAAAGTTACAAGAAAGCGTAAATTTTCAGAAACATTCCACGACAAAGCACTTTGTCTTAGTATGATAGGTGCAGAGCAGGGTTGGGCAGTATCACGATACAAATGTATTGCGATAGTATTTCAGAAATACATTTCGTATCTATTTCTGTATCGCGATACATTTTTTTCACCAGTATCTGTATTCCTGTATTGAAATACTTTCGGAAAGTTTCTTTGTAGCGCGATACAATCAGAATGAAATGTATTTCGTTACATTTCTTGAGAAATGCCCCCCCCCCCCCCCCCCCCCCAAAAAAAAAGAAGTCCGAACGCTTTTTTTTTTCTTCTGAGCGCACCAGGTGATACTGGGGCATTGTTACTATGCTGACCAAAGTTGCTTTCGATTCTCCAAATTATTTTTCTATGCGTCCTATTCTCTCTTCTGAGAAGTGTTGCGTAGTCGGGGACTCGAACCAGGTGGCGTGTTAGGAGTGGAGTCGGAGCATCGTCTGCCGCAGTTCC